ACTGTCAGTGCTCTCTCTCTCTCTCTCTCTCTCTCTCTCTCTCTCTCTCTCTCTCTCTCTCTCTCTCTCTCTCTCTCTCTCTCTCTCTCTCCCCCAACAGGCAGCAGCGGCAGGCGCCATGTCGAAACGGCCGCTTCGAAATTGCTCGGGTCTGTGCGAAACCCGCCAACTCAAAAACCTGCAGTGTCTTGTGTCTGGACCTCCAGGTCATGTCCATGTCCGGTGGGGTGAAAGGACACTTAAAAATCACTCCGTTATTTTTCGAGGGGCGGCTAGGACCCGACAAACGTCCTGGACCGCCCCATTTTGTTTTATTTTTTTTGCCCCAGGGGCCTCCATCCAGACATGGGGACCGGACACCAGACACCGGCCACCGGACTGTCTGGAACCCGGTCCGGACGTCCGGGCGGTTACCATGCTTTGTAGCATCCCACTTTCCATGGATGCCCCAAAGAACGGGCCCAGGTATAACTAAGGGCATGGGACAAGAAGGGTATTGCCTTAAGATGGACAGGCTCTGGGTATAGATGCAAGTTGGGTGCCTGGACTGGGTATAGGGGAGATATTCCCATCTTTGAATGGGCTAGAGGTGCAATTTTCCCTTTAAAGTCTCATGTTTCTTGTTAAACCACCACCACTACCTCCGAGCCCCATTTTTGCCGACCCTGATTTTCACTACGCACCAAGTTTTGCCGAGCCTCGCTCCCATTCTGTTTTACTTTCTGGCACACTTGTAAAAAAACAAAAAAAACAAAAAAAACTCTCCGTTTCTGATCGAGGGCTTAGTCCTTCGGTCTTTGATATGGAGATGCTGCGGGGTTATCCTGTCTACGAGCGATTGTGGGCGGCCTGCGGCGAAAATTTGCCAGAGCTGCATGACGATAGAGTGCTGCGGTGCAATGGAGCTGACTGCACGAGTTATGCTGCTTTCTTGATTTTGTTGTGCTACAGAAACTAGCTGCTGTTATTGTGATAGAAATAGTAATTTGTTAAGTGTTTTGTTGTTTAAAATAGGGCTTGCTTTACGTCTGCTGCCTTTTCTGTTCTTTGAAGACAATAGGGATTATGTATTGAGCGATCGTTGTTTTTTGTTGGCTAATAGAAGCCAGCTGTAGTTATTGAACCTACCGTGTTTGTAAGCTATCTGTTAGTTTGTAGGTTTGGGCATAGAAATAGTAAATAGCTAGTACTTTGACAACTTTGTTGTCGAAATTAGGGCTCGGTCTACGTATGCCGCCTTTTGTGTTCTTTCCAGATAATAGGAATTATGTTTTCAACGATTGTAGAAATTGTGGTAGCTTTGGACGTGGAATGCTGTTATGTGAGGAAAATAGTTAGATTGTGGGATTGATATTTTGTAGGTGATTGTCAGTTTATGGTTGGTGGAAACTAGGGTTGGACACCTGACTTTCGCAGTTATGGGGAGTGAGGTTTTGGGGATTGCAGGTAGTGATGAGAATAAGGTTTATGTTGGCTCGTTGATTTGTTGGTCCATAGAAACTAGCTGTTGTTATTGAATCTGCCGTGTGTTTAGGGTTGGATGATCGGGGTTCGCAGCTATTTGTTAGTATTTTTTTTCTGATCTTAGGGTTTGCAGTGACACAGTGGTCCGATCTTAGGGCTTGACCGATCATGTCTCGTCCTTCGATGGGGACACCTTCCTTTTGTGAGGGATGCCAGGCCCGTTTCCTGGCTTACTGAAATATCAAAAAAAAAAAAAAAAAAAAAAAAAAAAGGGAAACAACCATTTGGTCGTCGTAGCGGGTGGATACAAAAAGCGAAGTACTTGTGTGAGTGTGCCCTCAGTAAGGGCGTTTCCGCGTGGACCTCACTGACACGCGAGAGAAAGAAAGAAAACCCAAAAAAAAAAACAAAGAAACTTCCCCACGGACTCGGAAAAAAAAAGCAAGAACAGACAGTAGTGTGAGTGTGCACGGTCAAAAGACAGAAAAGGAATGCAGGACGATACATTGTCATTGACAGTAGTGTGAGTGTGCCCTTCCTCTGACGGCGACTGTCAGTATCAGTAGCCGGTGGAATGCGCCCTGCCTTGGTGGCAGGGCATTACAAGAAAAGAAAAGAAGTAAACAAGAGCGCAACCTGAATATTAGGGCCAAAATAAAAATAAAAATTAGGGCCTCTTTCCACACCACTTCAACTCCAGGGAGATGTGGAAACGCGTCGCTCGACCTCTCCCTAGTGACATCCACTAATGTTTTCACATTTTCTGTTTCCAGTTTCAAGGGCTGGCCCTCGAAATTCAAGGTCGGCTCGGGCGAAATCGCACTTGAACTCAAGGCAGATGTAGAGAGGTACCTTGAATTCAAGGGTGGCTCCAGCAAAATTGCACTTGAAATAAAGGCAGATGTAGAGAGGTACCTTGAATTCAAGGGTGGATCCATCAAAATTGCACTTGAAATAAAGGCAGATGTAGAGAGGTACCTTGAACTCAAGGGCGACACACTGACAAGGGCATGAGAACTGTGGGCTTTTTTTTTTTTTCTTTTTTTTTTTCCCCCAGCAGGCGGTCCTGGCTCCAGGATTGGTCAAGCTGTGGGTCTCAGTTTCAAGTGCAGACTTTTCAAGTGTAGACTTTTCAAGTGTTTCCTCAAGTGTACGCGGAACCGTAAATACTAAATAGAGTTTAACTTAGTGTAAATTAATCACAATTTCGCAATTAAGGGGGGCGCACTTGAAACTCGAGGGTCTTCAAGTGGGTGTGGAATGAGGCCCTTAGTCAGATGACTCAGATCGGATACGGGCTTGAAAGTATAGAGGGGTGCACAACCAACCTCCTTCACGGTCATCCTGGACATCGGTTTTTTGTTTCTCCTCTTTGATTTCAAACAGGCCCACAAGGCCCAAACTTTAACTTCTTGTCGAGCCTCGTCCAATCCCCGACAACTTCGGAGAAAATGGGAATGGGATGGGAAACCTGCCAGTCGGCGGAGTACTGGTGGTTTAATGACCCAGTAGGCAGGTCATGCTGGGGTCAATAAAAATTCCGGTTTCGGTTTTCTGATCCTGGTCGCGGTTCCAGTTCTGGTGCATTCTGTTTTTTGTTCTCGGTTCACGACTTCTCGTTTACTGATCGGCACAGCCTGAAAGGTAGTCGTCCTTTACCCATGCGATTTTTATGGGATGCTAAGGATCTTAGAAGCTTCGCCTTAAAGTTTCCGGATGGCTCCTTTGAGTCCTTTCTATTGGCCGGCGGTTGCACCTGCTGGAAACCAGGTCCAGCGCCTGTTCCTCGTAAGGTTACGCTCCGGTCTTGCTAGTCTGTAATGCCAACCGACTTCGCCCGAAGAGAATGCACAATCGTTATCAACACGTCTAGATTCGGACCCGAAGCTGCGCCAAATACGGAGACCATAATAGCCGTGTCAAAAGCGCTAGTACACGGCCCCAGCCTTACAGAAAGCTTTTGTTGCCATAAGCAAAACGCGGAGGCGCCACACGGCCCGGGGTGCCGTTGAAAGAAAGGAAAAAAAAGCGCCGGCCTCGGCCTCCAAAGTTGTGCGGATTTCATGCTCACACCCGCGGGCCAATGTGTGGTGTACTGGTGCTTCAAAATTTAAACGACCAATACCAATACCTCTCATAGGCAGACTCGAAACCTCCTAGGAATGCGGCACAACCCGTACACCTCAGTTTTTGGATGCCGGGGCACCACCGGACCACAATGGCGGGTCGCGCCAGCCAAAAAAAAACAAAACAAAACAGAAAAGAAGTCGAGTTGGCGCTTCGGCAAGTCTTGGAGAGCTTTTCTTTTCCGTCTCGGCAAAAAGAGGTTCGGAGGTAGTGGTGGTGTTAAAAAAAAAAAAAAAAAAAAAAAAAAAAAGACCGTGCCTTCTGTTCAGGGGAGAAAGGGAGGGTATGTTCTGTCTTCAGGTGAAGCCATCGCGCCCCAGCAACAGATGACATCGTGTGAGACGAGGACATGCATACCGAACATCGTAGTACTCAATGGCCTACCTGGTTTTTTTTGTTTTTTTTTTTGAAAAGGCCCTTGCGATATCCCTCTATCCTGGGGGTGGTAAGAGAACCGTCAGAATTGAGGGCTTACCTGTCGGGCAGCTCCATCTATTGGTGGAGAGCGGCACCTGCTGGAAAACGGGTCCAGCGTCCCATTGCTACATCGTTCCATACAGAGATTGAATTTTGTTTTTGTAATGCAGCCCCTCCACCTGTCTTCTGCCAGGCATCCTTGTGGAATTTGCTCTTGGGGGGGAAGGCCCCCTTTTCTTTCATAACTGTCGCTTTAAATAGAAAGAAAAAAGAAAATGGGAGTGTGATGACCTGCTTCGCAATCGGCGTTTCTTTTTTTCGTCTTTTCCCTTGATTCTGTTATGTTTTCCAATCAAAGAGGCTTTATTATAGATGCCGGGCGTCCCTCACATATGTGTAGGCGACTCCCAATTGTGGACGAGGCATCATCGGCCAAGTCCACATCGGGAGTCACAGATCGCAAAATTCTGTTACGTTTTTGTTCATAACTGTTGCTCTTTTTCTTCTTCCTTTTTTTTTCTTTTTTTTTCTCTTTTTCTTAACGCAAGTTCTTTTTTCCAATGCGCCACCTACCTACCACTGCTCCTAAGGCTATATAGAGGGGATCCCTGCAAGCATAGCTACCTCACAATGAATGGATTGCATGTTGACCGCCGCCCCAACAGCGGTAGTCAGAGATGGGGTGGGGCAGCCAGTGGGGGTAGGCGC